TGTGTTTGTGTGTGAGGGAGGGAGGGAGAGAGAGAGAGAGAGAAAGAGAGAGAGAGAGAGAGAGAGAGAGAGAGAGAGAGAGAGAGAGAGAGGGGTGGGTCATTAAACGTCAACCTCTGAGTCAGAGATGACCCTTCCAGCTACCCAGGTATCAAGCAATGGTTACTCTGTTTAAACTTGATAGCATTACTGGCAAGTGTCTACTTCAATGCTTTATAGAGGAAGCGTTTGAGATTCACGTGAAGTTGTACGGGAAAGAGGACCACAAGAAAGAAAGATTTACAAAAACGGATTTGTAGGAATCTTTTTGATTGTTACGTTTTAATCGCAGGTGTTTTTATTCCGCTATCGACTCAATTTAGATAATTTAGGAAGGCAGAATCGACGTTGCTTGCCTGGACCGAACGCCAGGGGAGACCGATACATACTAGGGCTGGGTGGCTAGGTTCCCGATTAGTGAAAGTTAGGAATCATTGGAATCGACTCCGAACCCAATTACTTACTTTCTAATGATGTGATTTCTCCCGGTGGTTACCTGGTTGGCTCCGATCTTCTTCAGGATTTATGATAACCTTGATTTCAGAAAACTACGAAGCATCAACTTTTATTTTTCAAAAATCATCATCATCCAGTGCCAGATCTGCGACAGACATCGGCGATCATGGTTCTCCTTTCATTCCTTTGCTCGAATGCTCTCAAAAAAGCCACGTTTCCCTGATCTTTCTCTGTTACGTTTAGAATTCTTTAAAAAAAGAACATTTTAATGATTACTGTAACTGGTAACCGCTGGTATATGTAAAAAGGAGTCGGAACTTCTCTTCCGCAGCATTAACCGTAGGAATCGGTTCCGGAATTGAATCCTCGCCCAGCTCTAATTCATACCATCGAAAAGATCGAAATGCTCGGCTATTATTCTCCCCACTCCAGCACAGAACTCGTATCTCTGGTGTGTGTGACAAAAAGGGACCTGACTATGCATCACATAATAATAATATACCAGAACGTACTTTACGTAAAATATATATATAATATTGCAATGTATGCTAGCTATCAGTACAATTTCCATTTAATATCAAACCCGAATTTGGACCTTAAGAGAGGACGAATTCCAATTTCCTCTCCACAACAGGGGGTCGCTGTCTGTTTTCACATTGCATTCATGACGGTGAAAGAAATTTTTTTGATTCTTTTCATACAAAAGTCTTTCCAAATGTTATTTGTTTCTTTGAGCTCTCATATTGTTATTTAAACATGGCGGATTCAAGGTCTCTCTGTAAAAATGTAGAATTCAATCTCACAACTACTGTTTTTACATCTGATCTAATACGGGTAAGAACCGAGTCCAAATAAAAGAGACAAACAAGGGCAAGGTAACAGATCATCGGCCAGCTGTATAGATAAATATATAGTTAGCCCAACATTTTTAATTAATTATAAAAGAATAATAATTTACAAATTAATAAAGCCTTGCGTTTTTATAATTGGTTGTGTCGGGTTCATGTTCTCGAGAAACGTTGTCGAAATTCCGATTCTATATGGTGAAAACAGCAAGAAAAGATACATACTGTAGGTACAACTGTAAAAAGAAATAAACCATTTTTTTCCCTTTCTTCTAAAATACGCTCGTATGTACGTTTTTCAGGCTTAGAACATTTGAACATCTTACCGACTTTACCACTCCGTGTTCTCTCGATGTAACCCAAGTTATGATTAATCGCGGCTTAAAGTAAAAGTAAATGCAAGAGTTTTAAGCCTTTACCAACACTAGTAGGTTTATTAGGAGTTGTGACCTCCGAAATTAACTCCGGACTCAAAAAGGGCCGTGCAAAAATATGGGTTGGTATCCTTGAAAACTCAACAAAACGACCCGAGTTCAAGAACAACCCTATATGATTAAAAGCAGCTTGACGACCAACAGAAGTAACTTATCTTGTTTTGCTTTATTTGAGACTGTAAGCGATTTATCATCATCATCCAGTGCAAGATCTGCGACAGACATTGGCGATCATGGTTCTTCATTTATTCCTTTGTTCAAATGCTCTGGAAAAAAAAAGCTACGTTCCCCTGATCTTTCCCTGTTACCAATTTGTTTAGGTTCCCTAAGTATGTTGTTCTGGGCCTACCCCTGCCTCGCTAGCCCTCAATTTTGCCAGTGAGAGCTAGATGTTCAAGACCCTTATGTCTATTCAGGTGTCCCAAAAACTTCATTTGTCGTTTCCTGATTGTTTTTAACATTGACATTTTAACATTAAAAGTGAGTAGATCAAGTAAACTGTAACAAAGGAATAATACACATAGTGTGTAATATGATACTAATCTCCGAACCCCGGTAACAATGACGTCAGGAGTTGCTCTCCCCGACGACTCTGCGGAGCTAACAGATCACGTCTTTGACCTTCTCTTCTACCACGTCTCAGGCCCGCTGTTGTCTGAACGGGGCAACAGGACACTTCCCCTGGCACCTTGCTTGTGGGGGTGTGCCGGTGTCATTTCCGATCCCTTGAGAACACGGTCATCAAACGTTCTGGGATCCTGTCTCGTTCACTTTGTTGGTGCCTGTCTCTGGCCTGATGAAGTTAAGGAAATCACAACGACATAATATTTATTTTTTATTATTATTATTATTATTATTATTATTATTATTATTATTATTATTATTATTATTATTATTATCATCAGCATTATTATATTTCATTACGAAGGTCATGATTGTTTGAAAAGGGAGATAATATATTTATGTTTCCATCCTATAAAAAGCGTTTTCTTTTCGTTACTGTCTTTTTTCAAATAATGTATTCCTTATTCAAGGAAATGCGTTTGTTTACAGCCTTTATTTTTCCTAGATTGCTTTATAGATAGATAGATAGATAGATAGATAGATTGAGAGATAGATTGAGAGATAGAAAGAAAGATAGATAGATAGACAAATAGATAGATTTTCAATTGACAAGAAAACTGGCTGATTGTTTATTTGTTTTTTTATCTGACACTTTGTCTTTGATCCTTCATTATCTTTGATCCGTTATTTTAACTGTTATATTTGATCGTCTATTTTAACCTTTATATTTGATCCTTTATCTTGGACGACAAATAACCGTTACCACTCCCACTTTCCACTTCCCTCCCTCCCCCACACCACTCTGGCGTCTATAACTTGTGTCCGTGCTCTTGCGTCACGCACTGTCCTTTGGGAGGAAGGTCGAGATGATGATAGAGTCATCTCGTGTCTTGGTCTGAGGATGGGCTTTTGAATC